CCTAATATAGTTCTGCCTTCTCATTGCCTGAATAAATACAAACGCTGCTTCCAAACAAGTTGGAAAAAACCCAGAGTATTCAAATATAAAACAGTTTGTTTTATTAATCAAGTTTGTGGTCATGGATAAGTAGAGCCAATAAACTAGTAACTTGGAAAAAATGTTTCCTTCCAGCCAAGGAAAAGGCCTGGCATGAAAGCCAATAAGAAATAAAACTTCCTTGGAGTAATGAATGGCAAAGCCTTGCTTGGGAACACGAAATATAAACTTTACACCAGGTAGTATCCATTTGTCTATCCTGCTTAACTATTAAGAAGAAAGAGAAAAACAGAATTAGGAGTTTGCAGGCTGCAAAATTTCTAATGTGATAACATCAGCATTTTTTAACCTGATAAAAATAAAATTCCTTTACAAGCAAAGGTGATTTTGCCAGCAAATCCAAAGATATGCCTTTACAATGGTTTAAATTTTGTACCCATTCTCCATTCCCTCAACAATTCTCTGTAATCTGTTAAGTCCTCTAGTAGGCAAATGGTACCTGATTGGTCTTGAGCACATTCAGAGTATATGTTTAGTTCCAGTGCTTTGCCTGACTTAGGGTGAATTCAAAAGACATCTGTGAACTCAGAAAGCAGGTTCCCAGATGCTTGGGAAGGGTTGGGACCCTTGCAACACTTTTGCCTTCAGCAAAAATGTATTTCAATATAATTATAGTAGATAGCTTTCAATATGTCATCTCTATTATAGCAGCTGTAAATTATGAAGTGAATTGCCTGTGTACATGCATTTCTTCTGGTAGAAGCGAAGTGGGAGAGCTGTATAGAACATGATATATCTTTTCCTTTTTAACTGAGAAAAAATGTCTAAGTCAAATCTCATTTGCAAAAACCAATGTGCCCATTTCCTTTTGGTTAACAAGTAGAGGAACCAAGCAAAACCCCCTCAATTGAAAGCCTTCAATTCTTAAAAACAAGGCTTCTTAGGATCTTTGGCTTAATTAAGTTCATAATAATTCACCTATTCTAATAGTTGGGCCTTTAATCATAAGAACATATTGGCAAAGTACAGTAAAGGCACAAAACTTGTAGTTAATCAACAAGAAGACAGAGAAGCAAGCAGGTTTGTCTCTCAGCTTAAGAGGGGGACAATGTATCCATGATGAAGTATTTATAAGAGTGTTTGCTGCAAGCTTTGTAAAATTATCATATTCCTACTGGGTGTAGGAATCAACAAGAAAATAAAATAATTTTGTTTCCTTTTGGGTGGTAGTAATATTCAAGAACCTTACTGTAATATATATCCCATGCCTAATATCTCAAAACGTTTATAAATGAATTTAGATGGTTATCATCAAGAATCACTAAATCTAAGCATATGTAATAGAGACATATGATCAAAGAACATTTTCTGGGGGGAAAAGACAGGATTTTAAAGACAATACCATGTTTAAAACACACACATAAAACTGAGCCTTGCAGCTTGGATTTAATTTTGCTCAAACTGTAGCTCTAGTCTGTCTGCCTAGCTTTGTAAATGTGGCTGTGCTTATAAGGTACTTTAATTTACTGCAGTGGTGGTGTTTGTTAATTTTATAGCAATCTAAATCTAAAAAGGCTTCAGATACATTTTCATTATAGCTTCACTGCAAAACACAGTAGAGTGAATAACTTTAAGATTCCATTGTAGCTTATTTATTTTAGGGAAAGACTCAACACAATTTTCTGATGAAGCCTCTGCCTTAACATATATGTTCTTCCTATTTACTAATAAGCTTTTTGTCACTCAGAAGTGACATGCTAACCATGTTCACTTTTAGGAGGAAAAACATAATTTCTGCAAAGTAATCAAAATAGTTGTTTTTCTATATGCTCTATTCCCATTTCAAATGCAATCCAACACGGGCAAATCAGAGAAAACCAGAATGTACCTGAATTATTTTCCAGTTCTACATGGGTAGCAGCAAAATTCAATGAAAAAGGATGACATATTGTCAGAAACTGATTTCAATGTCTGATTCTGACACTAACTAGATGTGTGACACTGGACAAACCACTTAACCTCTCTGAGTCTCATTTTCTCATCTATAAAATAGAAATTACAATACCATCTACTTTAGAAATGCCACCCATTCACCTCATTTAGTTCTGTTTAGCCCTTCTAGTAATACCAAAGCATATCTTTGAAAGGTCCATCCCAGATAAAGCCCCTGTACCCCAAAGAAATCCAAGGGAAAGTTGACTGTTTTGTGTCAAAATTTATTAATCCTAAAAACTTAGAAGAACTGTAGACAGAAGAGCTATAAAAGCCAGCCCCTAAAAGACAACTCAAGAGAATTAAATGCCACTATATCATTTCTAAAACAATTTAGAACAGGAGAAAATTTGTAAATTAGAATTCTGCTGACTCTGTCTGTAGTTTTCCATCTTTATATTAAACATGAGAAAGGAAACATATATTTAAAATGGTTATTAGGCTACTGATTATATTCAGAAATGATTTATGATTACATTTTTTAAGTCACTATTTCCCAATTTGATATTTAATTCAAAAATTTTAAAAAATGCCTTATGTGTACATGTATATTTTAAAGCCAAAACCAAAACACCCCGAAACAAAACAAAACAACCCCTAGTAATTTGATTCTGTTATCAAACAGGACTAAGGTTGCCTAAAATCATCTTGGGAATTCCTTGGGGCATTTCTGAAACTGAGGCTCAGAACCCTGCCATTGACTGATGCCAGTTTCCCTCAATTTCCAATAGGGCTATATGGAGAAAGTAAGGAAATAGGTATAAAGAAACATAACAGAAGATAGTAAGGAATCACCTTAATTCCTTGGCCAAAAAACTGAGGCCATTTGGCCTATAATATACATCTTTCCATGAAAGGTGTGACTGGTGGTATTTACCTAGTCAGTTTATATAGATGTTTTAGCATAAAGTTATACAATTAGGATTATACTACAAATTAGAACCATTTTCTACTGTTTATGCTCAGGGCAACCTTTTCAACCGTGACTTATTTTGTTTACTGTCAATTATTCATATGTCAAATCAGAAAGCTGCATTTTTTTCCTGTACATACACAAGATAATTTTTTCAAAATTCCTATTTGCACATTTTCTAACCAAAAGTTATTCCTACAAATGAAACTAGAGACATAGTTTTAGATCCCAGAAAGTCCTATTAAGAAAATAGAAAACATCTTATAGTATTATTAATAATTGACATTACATGTTAACATAAAGCTACATAAATTTTTCTGCCCTCCCTCAAAACACACTCACCTGTGGGATAGAACTAACCATTTGTTTAATACCATCATATCCAGAATGTTAGAAAAAGCAATGGGAAAAAACCAACATATACAACTGAAACTATACAAGGAATTTGGAAGAAAAATCAGTTATTAAAATTGATTGGGGATTGCCAGAGATTAGTGGGGAGGAAGTGATGGAAAAAGAGAGTAATGAATAGCATAATGAGGCTCTTTAGGAAGTGAAAATACTCTGTATGATAGTGGTAGATACATGTCATTATACGTTTATCCAAACCCGCAGAATAGACAACACCAAGAGTGAACCCTAATGTAAACTATGGGTTTTGGATGATATTGGTATGTCAATGTGGGGGTTCATCCTCTCTGGTGGGGGATGCTGATAATGCGGGAGGTTATGTATTGGTGAGGGCATGGGGTATGTGAGATCTCTCTGAACCTTCCTCTCAAATTTGCTGTGAACCTAAAGCTCTAAAAAAAATAAAATCTTTTAAGAAATAACCACAAAAAACACACCAGGATCCCCACTTCACACTAACGTGTATGGACTTTAAGAACCGCCTGCCTAAACAGTGAAGTACTTACAGGTGAAATTATAGGATATCTAAGACTCGCTTTAAAATACTCCACCAAAAGGGGGAGTAGGGATAGACAAAATAAGATTGGCAAAATGTTGATAACTGTCTATCTGGGTGATGGGTATCCAGGTGGCTATTTATTTTAGGTTCAACCCTAGGAAATTACCATATTCAACTATTTTTTACCCCCAAACTTGGCAATTTAATAGGATTCAACCTAATACTACTCTCTTTATTTTTGTGTACATGTAAAAGTTTCCATAATAATGGGTTTTTTAATTACCTTCCAAATAAGAAATTTCATTAAATGAGAATTCCTCAAACTAAGCAGCTATATATAAAATGAACCATCAACATTTTACTTTATTACATTGACTCTAAGACTCACTTATTTTTCCCAACATTTTAACATCTCTGAAGTTTGGAAAGATTTTACAATTAATGGCATGTTGTGGTTAAAATGGCAGTGTTAATTTTTCTTGGTGGTACATAAAACAATGACGCAGCTTAAAATCAAAGATACCTTAGATTCAGTGAAGTATGGTTAATATAATTGCTGAGGACAGGATTTTTAACCCATATTCTCTTTCTAATCAGGAATTTAGCATACAATACTTAGTATTCCCTGTCTCAGGGTACCCATAATTATCCTGGGAAGTCTCAACCTCAGAGAGACATGCCAGAACCTGCATACTTTGTGAAGTTCCCTATAATCTCGCAAATTCCATAAGAACTAATTCCCAGGAGGATTCTGGTAAAACCTCACTTTGCAACGCTTCCCTTCAAAAGTTGTTAAAGCTTATGAACACGGCCAGTGCATACATGTTAATTATACAGAGCTCTGAAGAGCACCAAGTGGTGAGGTTAGAGGGGAAGAATGATGTGGTAGCAAGGGCATGTATATGTGACAAAATGAATACAACTAAAACAAGTAGATGGGATAAAATAGGTATAGTTTCACCTCCAAAATCTCAAAGGGTATTCATTTCATGAATCCATCAATTCACTTGGATTTTTGCATTGACCGTATTTATTTTGCTCTTTGTGTTAATACCTACCCCTCACAGCCCTCAGGAATGGTTAGCACAGTATAACAGAAGAGCAAGAGAGGGTTTGTGCAGGACTATGAGAGTGGCGGCTGCTGACCTGTTCATATTTCTCCAGTTCTGTGTGATAGATTTGTCTGATCTGGGTCAATTTGGCTCTGTAATCTGAGTGTTCAATAGAGTTATCTGAAGAACCTCCAGAGGCTGCCGCGGCTGCAGCTGCTGCCGCCGATCCCCCACCTTTCTCAGGACCTGAAACCCCTTCTGCCAAAAGCATATTGTCCAGTCTCATTAGCTGGGGATCGGGAGGGTCCTCCTCCTGGGCTCCTCTGATGCTGAGACCTTCAAGGAAAGAGAGAGAGAGAGAGACAGAGAGAAGAAGCAAGAAACAGAGGACAAACAGTGTGAGTATTTTATTTGAGAAAATGATCAAACAACATCAGTGCACTATAATTCACTGAGAACTTCATTGTTCACATTTGATCAATAAGCTTGAATATGAAAATTATTTAAGATATTATTTACATGCATCCCAGAATTTCTAACATCTCCCTCCCCTCCCCACACACAATTTACCCCAGATTGGATCCTTAGAAAAAGGTAACTCTATCTCCAATAAGGTCACATTTAAATAAAAGAAAAGAAAAAAAGAAGAAAAAGGTAACCCTAGCTTCTTGGAATATTTTAATCATCCAAGCTTAAAAGCATAAAATGGGAAGGGGGTAAAAAATTAAAGATTTCAAGAAAGAAAGAAAATAATGGCAAGGATATAAAACAAACTCATAAAAAGGTGGTTATTCTGTCTTTCTTTACAGTTGGAGAAATAGAATTAAAATTCCCATAAAATAATTCATAAGCTATAACCAAAATTGGAAAATAAACAGGATTAGATAGATGAGCTTTTCCATCATGTAATTTCAGAGAGAAATACATATATTTATGAGGCAATTATCTATATTTAAATATGTATATTATTAAATGAATATTGTTAAGCACATGGCAATACAATGGTGGGCACAGTAGTCTCAATCTAATTTTGCTTTTAAATCAAGAACTTCTTAAGTGACGCCCAGTCAGCAACCTCTTCTGAGTACTATAGATCACAGCTGACAATTCATAGGTTTAATCAGGTCACATAGGCTTTCTGCCAAGATGTTTTCAACAACACAGAAGACAAAGTTTTAAAATAATTATCATGGTATAAAAAGCACTGGAGTCATGACAGCTCAAAATCAGCATTTTCATTTATGTGTAACATAATCTAAAATATCCCAGCCCAATTAACCTCTGTAAATCTGTTTAAAAGCAGGTTCCCCACTCACTAGTTACAGGCTTCTTGAGGAAGGGGGGAAAAGGAAGTTGGCATCTTGCATGTTTGCGTTTGGATTCTGCCTTTTGCGTCTGTGCCTGTTGTTGTTTATCCACAGTGGTGCACACTCTGTGTCTAGTGTAACTTACATGACAGTAACACCTATAAGCTGCCAAGTGCTCAACTGATCACCAGCTCTGTGATTTTGTATGCTAACCTAAACCTACCACCAATTCTTTTAAGAACAGATTTCATTCCTAGATGCCCTGAATGACACCCACAGAATGACAAAGCTCTTGGTTGTCTTGACTCAAACACAGTTTAATTTCCTCCCCCAAAACACTTTAAAGCTGTCACTTTCATTTAAAAATATACTTCAGAATAATTTTAACCGGATAATAAAACTAACTCACCATAATTTAAAGTTGTATCTTTTGTCTGTTCAAAGGCAAATAAAGAAGTTTTGGAAATTATTAATATACTAGGACAATACATTCATTTAGGGTAACAAAAAGTTAGATAACTCTTTTATAAGATAAAATCTGTATCAACACATTGCTGATAATTAAAGAAGATAGGCAAACGTGTATTTGCTATTTCTTCCAGAACTAAAAGGAACTGATTAATACTGTCCTAGAACTGTCATATTTTGGTTAAGTTGGTATTTTAAATTTAACATTTTTGATTTTTCTCCCTTTTGATTCACTTTGATAAATGTTAAAATCTCATGGCCTGGACATGCTTGTAGTTCGCATACCAAGTTTTTGTGCATTTGGCACACAGTGAGGTCTTACTGAGCAATCTCTTATCTTGCTCTTTGGGTTCTGTTTCACTTTATATTATTTGTTTGGGAGTTTCTTAAGTTTTACCTTTTTAAACTCAATTTTTATGTGTCTGTTGTTTCTTTCTTGTATTTACAAAGACACTGGTGCTTCCCCTGGAAATGTGTGGGGTTTCTTTTTGTTTTGGAGACAGGGTCTCACTCTGTTGCCAGGGCTAGAGTAAAGTGGCAGGCACTGCAGCCTCAAACTCCTGGGCTCAAGTGATTCTCCCACCTCAGCCTCCATAGTTGTTTGGACTACAGATCCACACTACCATGCCTGGCTCATTTTTAAAAATTTTTTTGTAGATACCGGGATCTCATTATGGTGCTCAGGCTGGTCTTGAACTCCTGGCCTCAAGCGATCCTACCACCTTGGCCTTCCCAAGGGCTAGGATTACAGGCATAAGCCACTGCACCCAGCTTGGAAATGTGTTTTTTGTCTATCTTCAAGGTTCCTCCAGGTTTCTAATCTTCCCCTTGTACTTAAACACATTCATCTTTTCCCTGTGCACATGTGATGAGGTTCTTTAACAGTAGATCAACTTCCACAGTCAAAATGATTACATTTCCCTGCATAAGTGTTGCAAACAAGAAAAGATACTCAATGACTAATACACAAAGAAGTGAACCTTAAGGGAGAGAGAAGTAAATTCATCAGAAAAAAATGCAAAAGGCAAAAACTAATTAGCCATCTATGACACTTTTATACATATCTAATATGTATATAAACCATCATCATCATACCAATATAAAGCAACCCATAAACTCAATAATATCAGACACAAAGAAAAATAAGTATGTATTTTCAGCAACTATAACATTTTCCTCTTGTGAAAATGTTTTCTCTTCCAAAATCATAAGTAAATCAACACTAAAGTGTCTGCTTCAATAATAGAAAAAAATGTTTTAATGCAATTCTTTTGTATTTACTTTATAAATTATGTGCATCAAATCTCATCAGAGAAATCATTTCCTGACAAAAAGTTCATACTCCTTGGATGAAAAGTACTGCAGCACTTTGCAATTAGGCGACATGGAAAATGCTATTTATCAATAATGAAGTCATTTTCATAACTACGGTTTGAAAAGTGAAACAATTTATTTCTCTATTAAGCAAAGTAATGATTATAGGACCTCTAAATAGTAATGCCTGGTTTCCATATTATTTTCAGTTTGAGTATTTCTATTTATTTTCTTACTTTACATTCAAGTTATTATTTTATTCCTTATTCTACCTAGCTATCCACTGACTATTACTTAGTTTACTAACCTTCCAAAGTCACACGTGGCTTTTAATTGTAACACCTACTCCTCTGGGCACCCATAAACATTTTAATGAGCCTAAATTTGCAAGGGCCAGAATGAATTGGACTGTGTGGTTATCAAAAGATCCTGACACCTTCAAATGGAAACTTGGTAAAATCATCATTTAAAAATTGGTTATTCTTGTTTTTAATTCAAAATGTATTTATACTGGAACATATAGAGGTTTATAAAGTTTTACATATAGGCTCTTTGGTTATCACAGTATTATAAAATTTTTTTAAAAAAACCCTATTTGCAATCTACTTATTATCACAACATTCATTTCAGTATCCCTAAGATTTAGACAAATCATACAAACACAGTAAAACACTGTTTAACAATGAACTTGGCTTTGTTATAAGCCCACAGTTTTTGCATATCTTTCAGCAAATCCTAATTAGCTGTCTTTCAACATGCTGTGCACCTGCCCCACAGATAATGGGAGAGAGCATCTGCATAGACGACTGCATTCGGAGGGCAATAAATAAATTACGGGTCAAAATTATTACAAAGCTTTCGCCAAATAAACGCATACCCTTCACAATTCTAAGCTGCAGATGTGAAAAGTACCTAAAGCCCACTCAAATGGTATGATTACGGGGCTGTTTGAGTTTAATAATCTGACTGTAATTCAGGCATTTTCAACAGCTCATTAAGGGTTCATTAATATATAGGCAAGCTTTTGAATTATAAATAAGCAGATTAGAAATCTGCACTGGCTGGATTGTACAGTAGTAGCCTCTCGAACAGAACACCTCTGTAACACAATGAAGGCTTGACCTGAGAGAATGAGGTGCAAACATAGGGCACTAACTAAGCTTTGTGGCTCCCTCATTTCAAGACCAAGCCCACTGGACCATGACTAACCTCTGTTTATCCAGGACTGAAGAGTAGCTTCAGACTACTGCTATTTCAAATCGAATATATTCTACACGTGGTTGTGAATGAGACATAACTTAAGATCTAGCCCTATAATATTTCCATAATAAAGGAAGACAGATAATATTCATGCTAATGACAAATAAAAGTTATCATCAAATCATTTTTACTTTGTAAAGAGTATATTCAGAGTATATTCAGACCTGCTGAGAAACAAAAAGCTATTATGGAAATTTGAGTTGTTTGATTTTTTTTCTCCTTTTCTCTCCTAATGAACATACCATAAATCGAGGCACCAAATTATTCATAAGTGTAGGCCGATAAAATCTCTGTAATTTTGCTCTTTGATGGACTTGTTTTTGATTTACTCAACTATCATACCACAGTCTTAGTTCAGCAGAAAAATTTTTAGCTGCACAACATGTAAAACATGGACAGATCAGATATTTTCAGCAGGCCCTGAATTCTTTACTACTTTGAAACAAGTAACCATTCTAACATTTTCAGGTATTCTTATAGTTTTCCATAGATTTTCTTTTGTGTCCATAATTTAAAAGTAAGAAGTAGTACTGTAGTCAGAAGTTACAAAGCTAATTAATGAAAACACCAACTTTATTTTCTGTGCTTTCTTCATTTAAAAATCGAGTCAGCCACAGTTTGAGAAACATACCCAAATTATAGATAAGGAAGAGAGATTAAGACAAATGCATTGCTACTTTTTTCCCCAAGCATATAAAAGGTAAAATAATTTTCTACCCAAAATCCTTAAGAAGTAGTTAAAGTATGAAGCAGAAGACCTGCAAATGAAATGAAGGTCACAAACTCCATGGTTATAAGATTTGATTTGAAACAATTACCTTTTGGTTGTGAAAACTGGATATAATTTGAAAACAAAGTGGAGAAAGACAATGAAAAACTCTCAAGCCACCACTATCTAAACTGTATTTGTGTACTGGGGTTGGGAGGTTGTGGTTCCCAGATACACAGTGGGTGAACTGTAGACTGAACTCAGGAGCCAGGCCCAAG